TTAGTCTAAAAGATAATAAATATTCCGTAATTATAGTTATTTAATTATTTATTAATATTAATATTCTAAAATATAAATTATTTATCGTCTTTAAGCTTTACTTAAACTTAAGAGTTAAGATACTCTAAAATAATCGAAATTATTAAGTCTTTTATCGTGCGCTTTCTAATTAAATTTATAGCGTAAATAATTCGAGAATTAAGATCGACGTATATTAACTATTAATAATTAATCTCTCGATAAAAAATTAGCTTCTTCTATATAAACTTATCTTATCGTTACGATCGCGGCTAAATTATAAATATAAATATTTCTCGAACGTTATATAAATAGATTATATTCTATTCGTCTTTTATTTAGTACTTTCGGTAGGCCGCGATATCTCTAATAACGTAATTTATAAATAACTAATCGTTATAATTTATATTAAGTAAAAGATATTCTAATTCTTTCTTATCGATTATATATTCTTTCGAGTAGTAATTCTCGCCGCAAAGAGATTTCTTTACTCCGCGACTATACTCTTTAAATTTCTTTAAAGCGTCTTAAATTCGCTAAATTTCTAACGTATCTTTTTTAGTCTTTATTCTTTCTATAATTTAAATTACTTCGAGAGTAGCGTAATACTAAAGAGATTATCTCGAACTAATATTAATCGATAATATCTTAATTAATCTTTAGAATACTTATATAATAGCTTTAAATTTATATTAAACTACTTTATTCGTTTATCGTTTAGTTAAAGTATCTTTACCGATATTATACTTAACTCTCTTAAATTAATTTATAATAATCTTCTATATTAGTTTTTCTATATTAAAAGAATTTCTTAATAAATTTTATTTATATAGTTTCGTATTAAAGAGCGAAGATAACTCTTAAAACTCTTTACGAAGATATTTATTATTAGTAATAATTTCTTTAATTTCCGCGAATGTTTATTTAGTAAACGAGAAGTATATTCGCTTAGAAGCTCTTACTTTTATCTCTAAAGATATTCTTAAAACTAACGATATTAATCGTAGTCTCTTTCTAAATTAAATTACTATTTTAATATATTCGTTTCGAATTTCTAATTACTTTTTAATTACTTTCTTAATTATAACTTCTCTTTTTTTAATTTTAGTAAGCTTTTCTATTATAGACTTATTCTTAAAGTAATTTAAAATATTTCGCTTTTAATATCTTTACTCTTCTTTTAGCTATTTCTTAGATACGGTCGATAAAGACGAAGATTTTATCGCTTATTCTTAGAAGTTCTTTAACTAATTTTCAATCTTATCTTTCGTTAGTATTTTACTAAATCTTTTCTCTATAAATTTCTTAATAGACGGTTTTATAATTAGTTTCTTTCTTATAATAAGATTCTATTTAACTTAATTAATTTAGCTAATTAATATCTCTAAAAGATCCTCGGTGAGAATTAAATTATATATATTTAGTGACTTTATACTATTTAACTAATATAATCTATTCTTTAACTAAAGATAATATTCTAAACGCGTAGCTATAACTTATAAATACTTATAATTATTCATAGCGTTTCTAAAATCGTCTAGGTTCGACTATATTATAAAGATATCGATTCGTTACGGTGCTAGCTAAGAAAACTTTACACCCGTGAGACCGGTTAGTCGTTTCATTATTTAATAATTAATTTAACGTAATATATTTATAGATATCTCGTCCCGTAGCTTAGGCGTTATTTTTATATATTAGAGCTTCTTTAATATATACGCTATATTACTTAGCTACTATATTATAATATCTTTTTAAAATTCTTTAATTATTTATTATCTAAACTTTCGGCTAATCGTATCTCTACCGCTCGTATTCTTTAAAAATAAAGCTATATTTTAGCTTCTAGTATAATTAATATTTTTAATAAATCTTCTCTTAATTTCGTTATATTTATTTCGGTTATTAATCGTATCTTTAATTAATACTTAAAATCTTTTAGTCTTCTTATTCTTAATTACTTTATTTTTAAATATTATCTTTAATTCTAAATCGTCTTTAATATAATTAGCGATTTTTAGTACGAACTTTTTATTTAATTATTATATTCTTTCGACTATTTAAATAGCTTATTTAATCTATTCGGTTACGTTAATTTCTTCTTTACGATATAATATTAGTATTTCTTATAATAGTTTTTAAATTAAGAAAATAACGAGAATACGATATCTAAATATTTAATACTATAGCCGTACTAAGAGTAATATCTCTAAAATTATAAATAAGTTACGTTCCGATTATTATATTAAATCTTTATAAGAGAGCTTAGATTACTTATAAACTAATATTAATAATATCTTATCTTCGAATCGCCACTTACTACTACTAATTTAAGAGCGTTAGTATAAACGAATCTAATAACGAAGTAATATATTAAGGCGTTTACGGAACTTATTATTACGGTATTATTAGTATAAAATTAAGCGTAAGCCCTTATATACGACGAGATCTTCGCGGAGTATCTTAATTACTTATATTACTTAAAACTATTTATAAATAATTAAAGCTCGGTTTTCTTAATAAAAAATATACTAAATAAAGCTATAAAATAGTACAGCGCTATTTTTCGAGATTAATAAAGATATTCTTTAAGTATTCGTTAGAAATAGAGAAAATTAAGTAATTACTTAACGAAATAAAGTAAAGACGAGAGGAAAGAGATAATAGAAATAGTCGAGAGCTAACTTAGCCGCTTATTAACTTCACTACTTATTAAGTAGCGAACTTCGTTATATATTAATATCACTACTATATATTTACGTCGATTTTAATTTCTTCTTATCTATTCTTTCACTTATAAAGTATTATCTACGAACTAAGTAAGAAATACTTCGATAGTCGCGATAACGATATCTTAATATTTATTCACTTAACTTCTTACTCATCTTTAGTATTATTTATAGTTTAGATAGTACTTTCTTCTCTTTAATTAATTAATTAGTGTGGAATATCGCCCTCTAAAGATTTATATTAAATCTTTAGTTACGTGATTAAATACGAAGTTTAAGTTCGTATTTAGACCTAGGGTCTATGAAATCACGTGACTAGTGCGATATTAATT